TGTTAAGACTATGTTTAACTCATTAGTGAAGTAACAAGCATAATTGTAAATTTGGTTCCCCCATAATATATTTAATAGTATAGTAATCTAATCCTCTCATTCTTACATATTCCCAGTATGGTACCTTATACATATATGATGTTTATATGTAATCAAAATTTACTCATTTACTGCTTATTTTGACTAGAAAATGTTGCATTCCTAACAGATTATTGGTATCTATATTTCTTTTTTTTGAGAGAGAGAGAGAGAGAGAGAGAGAGAGAGATTTTTTTTTTAGTTAGAATTTTTTTTTAATATTTATTTTTTAGTTTTCGGTGGACACAACATCTTTGTTTGTTTATATGTGGTGCTGAGGATCCAACCCGGACCGCACGCATGCTAGGCAAGCGCGCTACCGCTTGAGCCACATCCCCAGCCCTAACTGTGCTTTTTAAAAATAAGAATAAGTGGGAGAATTGGCACTATTTTTTTGTAAACCATCACAAATGCATTTTACTGGGCCTTTGATATGTTGCATTTTCATGTTTATGTTTTTTAGCGCTATCATAACTGTAGATGTTAAATAAACAAAGGTGGTTTTGTGATTTAAAAATAGATTAACTGACAGCAAAGAGATTATAATTCTTTAACTTTAAAACCTTAATGTAAAATGAAATATTTTCTCCCTTTTTGGTTCATCTGACAGACTTTTGTATAGCCCTCTCATGTTATAATTTACAAATCTGAGAAAGGATGGATAAAATGCAATGTATGTAAAAGTTGATTAGGAAGGCAATAAACTTTTCATTCCATTAACAAAACAGATTATTTTGTACTGGCAAAAAGTACAAAGAACAGAAGATGTTTTTCCCCAAAAATATTTAAATTTATGGAATGGGAGGTAGGGGTGGAAACCCACCTGTGTATGTTTTTCTCCACAAAGAAAGTTTAATTTGATATTGATAATTCTTAATAAAATCAGGAACTTAACTGGTATCATTAGTCTTCATTAAACACTAGTTTTTTAAATGCTTTGATTTCTGTGGTAATAACTATGTTAATACTATATCAAACATATACATATATGTAAAAAAATACATATAATACAAAACCAATAACTATTACTGTTGCAGGCATTTAAAAAATATATTTTTAGTTGTAATTGGACATAATAACCTTACTTATTTGTTTGCTTGTTTGTTTGTTTGTTTGTTTGATGTAGTGCTGGGCAAGTGCTTTACCACTGAGCCACAACCCCAGTCCTGTTCCAGGCATTTTAAATGTATTGTTCTTATTTAATTTGCCCAACAACTGTGTGTAATTAATTATTTGGCCTAAGAGCACCCAAATAATTGTGATTTAATATTGGTTGAACGCCAATATTGGTAGTATGTACTTTATGCTCTGGCCGACTCTTCCTAAATTGAGTATTATTAGCAAAATTACAAGGTAAAAACAGTCTGTTTTTTATGGTACAAATCAGTTCTATTTGTGACTAAGTTATGAAAAGCAAAATAAATTAAGCATGTTTGTGTCTTTATTTTTCAGTGGTTCTTTATCACCTCACTACCTAAGCTCTGTTTTCAAGCAGAACCAGGTGCGAACCCTCAAAGGTAAATGTAAAGATCAGTCTTTTAAATTAAAAAAAAAATTTTAAAAAGTTAAAATTCAGGATTTTTTTTCTGATTATAAATTATATGTTATTGTAGAAGTTTCAGTAATTAAAACACATAAAAGAGAAGGTAAACACCACCCTTTATTCTATTGTTAATGTTTTGATATAATTCCTTCGGTCTTTTATTTATGTTATGTGTGTGTATACACACATATACACACACATTTTTTTCCTCCTAACAGTGGACTTGATGTGTGTATAGTTTTAAGTCCTTTTTTCATTTACCTTTTTATTTTTTTTTTTTTTAGAATTAGTTGGACACAATACCTTTATTTTATTTTATGTAGTGCTGAGGATTGAACACCCAGGGCCTTGCACCTGCTAAACAAGTGTTCTACTGCTGAGCCACAATCCCAGCCCTCATTTACTTTTATATGTATTTTTCTTTGAAAATTGGATTTAGTTTCTAATAACATCTTCAATAAAGTTATCTTTATTTGTTTTTTGTGCATTTAATTACCTAAGGATGGCTTTACATTTATAAAATGGTTGGGGGAAAAATCAAAATAACAATATTGTTTCAAAGCATGCAAAATTTGCTGTAACAGCAGAGTTAAGTAGTTGCAAAAAAGATCTATTATTTCCTTGGTTTTTCCTCCTTGGTTATGCTTTATGCAAAGCATAAAGTATTTACTTTCTGACTCTTTACTGAAGAAGTTTGCCATTCCCTGGATTAGAATATAGTTCAGAATATTTTTCTAATAGGTTATTTAAATGTGAAGAGTTTTAGTTGAGGAAGCTAAGTTGACTTTTAAAAATTTTTTATTAATTATTAAAAACAAATTAAAAATTTGAATAAGGGATTTGCTTTCCTTCTCATAATTAATGTTATAGATTAGTAGTTTATTAAAATAGGTTTTTCTGACATTGTTGCTTTGATGCCTAGAGACATTTCCATGAACTTTGAAAATAAAATTCTCAGACTAAAGCCTTTCTGTGTAACAGACATTTTTGGCTCTTTCAAATGATATACTAAGCTGAACCTCAGTAGTGTTGTACTGATGTCTGTAAAAATGTGGGAGAGAAAGTGTGAAAAAGCTTTAGAGAACTCTGCAAAAAGTCAAGTGGATAGGGAATTGGTTTTGGATAATGTTCTTCCTTTGCATAAGGCAGGCTTCAGTTTTCTTTTACTTTGTGGGTAAATGTAGTTTCTCTTTACATTTAGATACTGCTGAAACTGCTTTATTTTTTTATTGCCTCAATAAATGCTGACCCTTTGTTCTTAAGCTCAGTTCACAGATACATGTTGAGAATATATTCTTTGTGGATTCTTGGGCTTACTTAACATCTCTTCTTATACTTGTTCCATTCCATCTAAACTCAGTTTCTTCCTTTGGGGAGTAGACAGTTTCACGAGTTTCTCTTAAGTTTTAGCTATAGTTTTTCATAACAATAAGTAGGTATTTCTGCTTCATCTGATGACTTACACATCACCTCTCCAGTACTGCTAACCTTCCTTCCTTCCTTTTTTATACTCAGAAATCTTGGGCCTGGTCCCCTGATTATAATTAACTAGGTGCAGAAGTTGGTATTCTAGGTTTTAAAACAACTTCGGTCCATTCTGGAATAGAATAGTAAAGTCTCACAGGTTTTAAAGAGAAAAACATAAGACCCTGCAAAAACTTCATAAAATTTATATCTCAATCCGGATGCTTTAGAATATTCATAGATTTTTGAGAAAATTTGCTCCTCTTCCTCTCTTTACATTATTTCTAAAGAGAAGATTGAATTTTCATAATAAGTAATTATTGATCTCCTATGTCTTGCCAGGCATTGAAGAAGATGCTTTGGGATATGCAGAGATGAGAGACTCTGGCTGTTCTTAGAAAGCATACAGATTAATTAGAAAAGGTTGACTAGATTTATACAGAGTACACTGTGGAGAAAGGTAATGAGTGGCAAATTAAACTTAGAGGTAGGGCAGGAATGGCCTCTTAGCGAAGAAAGTATAAGACTTCAACCAGGCCTCAAAAGTTGGGCAGATACTTAACTTCCATGAATAGAGGTTTGGAGGAGGGCATGCCAACTTGACAGAATCATGGCAGTAGAGAAAGTGGTCTGGCAGTTGCTGAAAATCAGTCTGGCAGATTGATTGGTGTGACTGAAACCCAGGAGAGGACCAGGTAGATATGGTCTTTTGGCATGGGCAAAAAGCAAAGGAGGCAGAAGTTTTAAGAGGATGAAGAGTTTGAACTTCTAATAGTAAGGATTCTGTGACTTACTGTTATGGTTTGCATGCATTATCTCATTCATTCCCTGAAACCATCCTTTAAGGTATTCTTACCCCTTATTTACAAATTAGGAAACTAAATTTTGGAGAGGTTGACTAACTTTTTCAAGGTCACACAAACTAGTAAATGACAGAGAGATTCATGTCCAGGAATTCTCACTTCAAAGTTTGCACCTCCTACCAGATATGACCCATTGGAGGAGCTGCTGAAGAGCTTTAAATAATGGAGATGACATTACCCATTTTGTGGTTTTATAAAGATCACTTTAGTATTACTGTTGGCTGCAGTATTACCTTATACATTCATCTCTCACTTCATAGAATCATCTTTTCTGATCATTACATTGTAACTAACATTAAACATTTAAGATTAATGGAGGTTAGGTTTAGGAACTCTAGAACCACTATCAGCCAAAACTGATATAGCACTTTGTTTGAAGTATAATTGTCTCTTGTTCAACTTGCTAACTTTATGTGCCAATATCTATATTACACTGTTGTTATAATAGGTAGCAGGAAACACAGGACTTTCATACTGATATAGCAAAACAAAACTTTTTGGTCAAGATTTTGGCTTGGTGTGGGTTTGGGTAAATTCATCTGTTTTAGAATATTACTGAGCTGTGCTATGGCACTGTTTTAGGCACAGGGTACCTCAGTAAACAAAACAGATAAAAATGGAACTCATATTCTGGTTAGTAAATTTTAGAAACACCTAGTATACTACAAACAAATATAAAATTGAGGCAGTTGGAAATGATGTTAGGGGCTCAGCACAAATTGAAATTCAAATTTAATGTTGAAAATTAGCATAATTTCTGTCTTAACCTGAGTCCAGACCAAACCAATGGACCAAACAGCTTAAAGCTTTGGTAGTTTATTTAAATTGCTGTCTTACTGAAAGAGACAGCCTCTTCATTTGGATGCCTTATAAATGTGCATGTTAGTTTGTTTTGGTTTTGGTTTTGGTTTTGGTACTGGGGTTTAAACTCAGGAGCACTGGACCTCTGAGCCACATCCCCAGCCTTGTTACTTTGTATTTTACTTAGAGGCAGGGTCTCACTGGGTTACTTAGTGCCTCACTTTTTAAAGAGACAAAGAGACAGAGAGAGAGAATTTTTTAATATTTTTTTTTTTTTTTAGTTTTCGGCAGACACAACATCTTTGTTTGTATGTGGTGCTGAGGATCGAACCCGGGCCACACGCATGCCAGGCGAGCGCAATACCACTTGAGCCACATCCCCAGCCCCCTTTTCATATATTTTATTAGTGAACTATAACCCTTCAAATTCTGTTCTACATTTTTTTTTTTTTTTTTTTACTTTATCTGGATGTGGATACTGACATTTAACTTGAGGTCAATCTACCACTGAGTTATATTCCCAGGCCTTTTTACTTTGAGACAGGGTCTCATTAGGTTGTTGAGACTGGCCTTGAACTTGTGATTCTCCTGCCTATGCCTTCTGAGTCACTGGGATTACAGGGATATAGCTTCAAATTTGACTTCTATTCCTTTAGTCTTAATATCATCCTTTAAGCATGGGGACCGAGAATCAGACAATAGAATCATGTTTGTCTTATAACCTTTACTTTCATAGGGCTAAAATTTGTGTCCTAATTTTTTTAATCAATCATTGTTAATAATTTCTCAGGATTAAAGCTAAGGAAATATAAATCAACAGGTGGAAATTAACAATTTTGATAGATCTTCATTTGAACAGTTATGAAATTAATAGCATGTTTTGAACTGCCAAATTTTGGTTCCTGGTGAACTGGATATGTTAGATAATATAACTAATAGTGTTGTTTGCCTTTTTTGGGGAGTACGGGGCTGGGAAGACTGGAGATTGAACCTGGGGTGCTTTACCACTGAACAACATCCTCAGTTCTTGTGACAGGGTCTCACTAAATTGCTTAGGGCTTCACCAAATTGCTGAGGCTAGCCTTGAACTTGCAATCCTCCCTCAGCCTCCCAGTTTGTTGGGCTCACAGGTATGCCTCACTGTACCTGGCAGTGTTGTTGTTTTAAAAAACAGCCTCCTTTACAATAGTCAAAATGCTTTATCAATGAAAAGTAACATTATATGAAGTATTTTCAGCTCAGTCAGTATATTGTCTGTACACTACGAAAAAAAATTGCTGATTACATTTGTTTATCATAAGTAACTATTTGCTCATTTAGATTGACAATCACTTTCTCTGTGCTGATTAAGCATCCCAACCAGTATCTAGTGTGTAGTAGAAGCTGTTTTTTTAAGTAGGAGAACATACACCAAAATCTTAATCTTTAAGTATGTGCAAATATTTAACAATAGCCTCTCTTATGAAGAACATTAATGTTACCATTCTTCCCTTTTCAGAATCTGATATTGATGCTGCCGCTGCAATGATGCTTTTAAATACTTCCATAGAGCAGGGGATTTTAGAATGTAAGTCATGATGCTTTTGTTTTTAAGAAACATTTTCAAATTTAATTTAGAAATACACAAATTATTTCTCTTCAACTAAATTTTCTTTTAATCTGAAAAACTTATTCTGTTTTATTATATTTTCATTAATTTATGAGAGTAATTGAAAGATTGAAGTTAATGCTGTGAAAGATTTTTGCATTAAACAAGAAATGGAGAAAAATATTATATTTAGAAAATAAGTTTGATGAGCTAAAAGTAAAAATGAAAGGTGTATGTAATAAAATACAGGAAAGCATATTGAGTTTTGACAGCAAAAGATACCTATAAGAAAAATAACATGAATGATTAGGGTTGTAGCTCAGTGGTAGAGTGCTTGCCTAGCATGTGTGAGACCCTGAATTTGATCCCCAGCACCACTGAAAGAAAGAAAACAATAAACAAATAAAATAATGGGACAATTTTTTTCACTATGTGATAGACAAAGGATCAATATCCAGTCTCTATATAAAAAGATCCTATAAATAAGAAATAATAAAACAGTTTAACAGAAAAGTCATCAAAATATATGAATAGGTAGGTCTCAGATGAGGAAATATAGACAATACCCATGTAAAAAGGATGTATAACTCCTCTAGAAATTAGGAAATGCAAAATAATATGAAGATTCTATTTTTGTCTAGGAGATTGTAAGAAATTAAAATGATTGATAGGCTTTGTCAAATACTGTTGGATGTTAAATGGTACTACCATTTCAGAGTTTAGTTGAGGAATACCAATTGTAACTTTGTGTTTATATATATCTTTGTTTTTAATCTTTATTTTATTATTTTTATGTGGTGCTGAGCATCAAACCCAGTGCCTCATGCGCACTAGGCGAGCATTCTACCACTGAGTCATGGCCCTAGCCCCATGTATACATCCTTTTACTTAGCACTTCTATCTCTTGGTCTCAATCCTAGTAAATTATTTGCATATGCATGAGGAAAACTATTCAGAACTTTCATTGCCTCATTATTTGTACTGTACAGGTGAAAAGCTAGGAACAACTTACATATCAACAAGGAAATGGTTAGCTAAACAGTGGTATATTTATATTGGGGCATTCTGTGCAAGTAGTTAAAAATGATTGTATATTCCATGGAAAGGTGAAGACATACTATTAAATGGTTTTAAAATGTTTCAGATTAATGCTTATAGAATGGTATGATCTGGTTAAAAAAGAAAAAAACTACTAAACATTACTAGTCTAAGGCACTTACTGCTCCGTTTTTAGTTGTGTGATTTTGCAATCAAATGCTTTTGACTTAGCGATAGAAGTTCTCTTTTCCACAGGTGAAAAGCCTCTTCCTCTTAAAACATCATTGCAGAAAAAGAGGAATTATGGTAATGCATTTAATCATCCCAGTGCTATAAGATTACAAGAGAGTGATTCTTCCACCATCAGCATTGATCCAAAAGAAGATCATAATTACAGCGCAAGTAGCATGGCAGCACAGCGCTGTGCATCCAGATCTAGTGTGTCTTCCTTGTCTTCTGTGGATGAGGTCTATGAATTTATCCCAAAGAGTAGCCATGTGGGAAGTGATGGCAGTGAAGGATTTCATAGTGAAGAAGACACAGATGTTGATTATGAAGATGATCCTCTTGCTGACAGTGGCTACGCATCACAGGCTTGTGCAGATACCTCTCAGAAAGGGCAGCCAGGCAAAAAGATGCGAAAACAGTCATGTCAAGAAATTGATGAGGAGCTCAAAGAGGCAGCTGGATCTCTGCTCCACCTTGCTGGAATTCGTACATGTCTGGGTTCCCTGATAAGTACTGCAAAGACACAAAGTCAAAAGCAACGGAAAAAATAGAAATGCTTTTTAGTGTGAAATTATTTTAAAGTGTGGCAATACTCTTCTACTTAATTCTTTACAAGGGATATCAAAGCCATAATCGACTTTAGTTTTAAGGTGAGGAGGGGTGCCAATTACTTGTTCCTTTCAAAACATTTTTGATTTCTGTTTATTTTTTAAAATTTAACCATTGCTGTAAGGATCATGCCCAATCGTAAACGTGATAAAAAAGCCTGAGAGCATAATTTTTGTGATAAGTGTCTCTTAAGATTTGGAAATTGTTATATATGAAAATCCCCAGCCTTTGTCTTAACCTTGTAGGAAAAAAATCTTTTCTATTGATATGTCAAAAATGTAACATTGGCAACTTTATATAACTTAATTTTATTTTCCTTTCCAATCTGTAACTAACCATAGCTACTGATCCCACTAAAATTTTTGCTGATATTTTTGTCATATACTCCTCCCTGCCACATGACCTAGTAGGGTAAGATTTGAATTATTTTAATTGTGTCTTATTTTTTGTTTTAAATTATTTGTTGAACATGAGCAAAGTCATAAATCAGAAAAGATCCTAGATGTCTAGAAAATTCCTGTTAATAATATAGGTAAAAAATCCAACAGAGTGTTGTAAGATTTAGAAAAGAAAATTTGGGGATGTGATTTCATCTAAGAAGACTACAGTTCCTATTACAATAGTATCTGAAGTGTTTTTACATCATGGATGACGCATAGCATTCACTGGGGCCTTTTATTTTTTCCCAAAGTGCTCTGCAACCACTGTTTAAGCCACCAGCTGTCTATGTGAAGTGGAAATTGTCCACTCAGAGGATATAGCCATAGAGTGTTATGGAGTAACACCAATTTTGACATACTTTTGCAATAAGAATCTTTCATTTGCTTTCCTAAATACACTGCATTCTAAGAGTCTTATAACCAGATGGAGTGGAATACTTATTACTTATGTTATCATAAATGAAAGTAGGTCATTTAGGAAAAAAAAAAAAAGAACAAAACTTTCCAAGCTTTGTATGAATTAAAATTGAATGTATACGAAATAAATTTTAAAAGGCTTAACTGTAAAGCTAAAATACTTTCTCGGATTTCAACACTCATAAAATTAGATCATACACAAAACTTTTTGAGGAGGCAGTGTAATACTTATATGTGCCATTAATCCATGCTAAAAGGTTTTTATATTACTATTCCAGCATTGTCTTAAAATGTTTTAAGTATTTAAACAAACCTGCTTATGAGACAGTTTTTCATAATATCATTTATATAGTTTGACTACATTATGGAGAAAGAACAGGGATACTAATACTATAATTTATTACATTTTTTTTTTTACAATGGTGGGAACAACTTTGGAAAAGTTTATTCTTATGATACATTCTATGTCATAGACAATGACTTAATTTTCATTTTTCCCCATAATTTTTATACGTAGATACACACACACAAACTCAAGATGTTAATTTCCTGCTTTCAGCTGTGTTTATGACTATAAAACATTTTCTTGGATTTTTTTTAAAGAGATAAATGTTTTTATTTTAGCTTCTAAATTTTATTTCGACAAAACTGTCAAAAGAGAAGAATAATAACAAATGTATCTTTCAATTGATAAGACTTTTATCCAGGGATAATAGCATTAATGTTTTCTGTCCTGTTTCCCTGTCAGTTGTCATTGATTATAGATAACTACCTTAATACAATTGGTGCTGTTGAAATACAGTATTTTTTTCATTTGTTGATAATGTAGGATGAGTTATTTGGACTTTTTCCTTCATAAATGTCACATCTCCAGCAAATAGCTAAGCCAGATTAACCTCTTTTACTATAGACAGTGAATAAAACACCAAAAACAAACAAAAAAAACCTTTTACCACGGTGTAAATAGTAAAGAGATTACAAAAATGGATGTATTCTCCGTTGTAATAGGGATCTTCAAAATGTCTTCATATATGTAACTCCTTAATTTCTTTGATTTTTTTTTTCTCCCTCTGTACTTATCCAACAAATTTAAATGTTTAAGCTACATTCATCATTAGCAAGGACAATAAACACTGTACTAACATCTACCAGGGAGAAGTTAGACATTTTATTTACACCTAAGTCTTGTACAGGATTAGTGTGTCATGTTCTATTTGCTAATACAACACAGCAGTTATTTTCAAGGGGAGCAGCTTTTTAATTATGGTCCTGCTGTTCTCACTCCTAAGGTGTGTGGAGATAGAAACATGTCTCATAGCCATACAATTAAGGAAAGTCATTCCAAGTCCTGTGGACTAGAAATCGTATTCCCAATAATAAATTAATTTTGCTGTAGTCAGAACAATTTGGAAACCCCAGAGAAGTTACATATTTTTCAATAACTGTGACTTAAATTAACATACAATTTGCCTTACATCAAAAAAATAGAAAGTTGGTTGCAACCTATTCCAGTTTATACTAGATCCCTAGTGAGAGTTTTGTCTCAGCATGATTAATCTTCATCTGTGAAGATGAAGAATCTGTGTTTCCCGAATATGTATTTTTGACATTTATTTGTGCAATATATTACTAAATTAGTTAATATTTTACTTTACAAATTCAGAAGAAAACAGATTACCTGCATTTGTGGAAAAGCTAACTATTGGTGGATACCTCCCTTTTTCCACCTTTGAGCCTTTCCTGTCCTCATAGTCACCATGACTTCTCTTAAATTAGATTCCTTTGTATATTGTAAAGTTTAGTATATATATATATTTTTTTTTTCTTTTGCTATTTTCTGAGGCATTATGTGAAGGGTTCATATTAGATGGTCAGTCAAATATACGTTAGCAAAAAATTCAAAGCTAGAGAAAGTGTTAAGGAGGGAATGTGTGTGTCTTGGTAGGCCAGGAAGCCTTCCCCAGCAATTTAAGCAACAGATGTGAATACTTCACAAAGTGTAAAGACTTTTGTCTTAAATACTACAGTAATTTAACACCGTTTTGTGAAGACTCATTTAAGAGACTTTGAGGCTTTCTGGTTTATATATACTTTATAGTTTTATTAGTTTGAAATGTGTAAGCTTTGATTTAAACAAAGTTTACTTCAGTATGTTAGATGTAGTCAAAATATTTATTGAAAGGGAAAATAGAATATTTTAATGTTATACCTGCCATTTTTTCTTAAAGTACATTCTTTGCATCTAACTGCCAGTGCCGTTGTCAAAACTTGTTTCTAAAATTGTTGTACATTTTTTTATTAAACTAAGTGCTTGATTTTAAAGTATTATGTTGCCATCAGATAGTATATAAAAATGTATAATTGCCAATTCATTGTAACTACTATTTATTTTTAAATGAAAGTATAAAGATGCTTTCTGTTTCAAGAAATTTGTTATTAAACTGTTTTCTTTTTTGATGTAGCATAAAAATTGTCTTCAGTTGGAATTGTAACTGCCAGTAGATGACCAGTCACAAGTGAACCACTTCTTAGTTGCCAGTCTTTGCTCATTTTAAAAACAACTTACAAATGTTTAGTTTTTGTATCTAATCTCTGATAATTAAAATGTTTATAAAGTTTATTTTTACCAAAGAGATACAATTCATTATGATAAAGTATTGCAGAGTAAACTTTGTTTTGTAATATTTTTTGTGTTTTCTCTGTTCTTTGGCGGGTGAGAGGAGGGACAGTGTAGATGTAAGGTGGCACATACTTCTACACACACACTAATTGCAGTGGTGTTACTTCAAAAATATCAATAATACCATCTGTTTGAAAATTGGAACATGTATTATAAAATGGATTAATTTACAAGCAACGTTTTGATCTTGAGTTTTCAACCCCCATTAACTTCTGTACTGATAATTTAGTCTTTTTTACATGGAATTATTTATATGAAATGAGTCAAATGAGATGACTATATTGATTTTAAACTACTACCACTCTGTGTCCTTTGCCTTTTAAGGCATCCTCTTGAAATAGAAAATGATTAAAATAATAACCATTCGGGGGTCATGATGTATTCTGAAATACTTTTATTCTCATTATTGCATTCATTTTCTAGCTCATACTAGTCTTGAAATAGAGAAATATATTTTAGGAAAATAAGTTATTAGAGTGGACTTGAAATACACAAATCTTTTTCTCAAGAATTTCAGGACATACTAACTTGATGTAATTTTAAAATATAGAAATAAGACTGTCAAAATGTACAATAACTTAGATTTCAAATCACTGAAAAATCTTCAGGAATAAAAATTAATTTTAATCTCAGAAATAACAGTAATTATCTGGACACCGTGTGTATGCCTTGTAGTCCCAGCTACTTGAGAAACTGAGGCAGGAAGATTGTTTGAGCCTAGGAATTTGAGGTCAGCCTGGGCAAAATGGTGAAAGGCTGTAAAAAAATAAGTATATTACATGAAATTTGAAATAGAGAAAGTTTATATGCTTTCCACTGAAAAATAGCTCTGTATTACACAGAATATTTATGGAAAGTTTGAATTATAAAAGTGTCTTTACAAATCTGTTGAAAAAGTAACCTTTTCTAGGGAACATCAAGGCAAGCTCAAAGGGCTTATTTCCTAATGTGGAAAGCAATAATCCCTTCTTAGTGATTCTCACACAAAATTTTTGTGTAAGTGGATTTACTTCCATTGTACATTTTCCTCAACCTTCAGATTTGGACTCCAGTAAATATTTACAAGTCAGTCTTGGAAAATAAAAGAGGAAACCAAGAGTTGGGTAGAAAAGAGGTCATAGGAAGTCCAATTAGAGGAGATTTATGAAGCTGAAGCAAAATTGCTGTCTACTGGTTGAGGATTCTAAAGACACTGCAATGTAGCTAAATTCATATGATAATTTGTAGAAAGGAGTTGAGAAAAAATTTCACACCTTGAGAGCCTCTTTTCACTTGAGTTTTTGTGTGCCTAATCCCAAGCATTGTGCTTTAAATCTGTGACATGCAATATGTGCTAAGAAACAAAAATAGACATTCTCTGAAACATGTAAATATGTAATTGTGAATTGTGATTGCTACACAAGAATAGGGCCTAGAACATATAATATATAATCTGGGATTTTAGTGGTGGTTTCCCCTAGAATATGACTTAAACTGGGATCTGAAAGATACATGTTAATCTGGGAATAAAAACGTGGTGAATTGTTCTGGGCAAGGGTAGCTTCAGAAAGATCCTTGTGAAACCAGAAAACATGAAACTTTCAGTGAATTAAAGGTAAGTGTGAGTACAAAGAGTTCAGGCTGGGATCACAGCATCTGGGAAAGACTTTGAAATTGTATGCAATTTAAGAGATCACCTTAAGACTTTCACTTGCAGCCATAATGGAGTGGCAGGACAAAATTTAAGTGCGTCTTTAACAACAAAAGCGGACAAAATATTTGAAACAATATTTTTTAACAAGATCCATAAGAATGTTTTACCTATAGCCAGACTAATGAATAGAAAAAGGACACAAATGAAACAGTACCTATAGACAGATTATACAGATATTGAAAGGATGTACATGAATAATATGAAGAATTTTATGTGAATAAAGTCGACAACTTAGAGAAAATGAAGTTTCTTAAAAGACATACAAGCAAAATACCAGCAAACAACAAAATGAGCAAAATATCTGAAGAAAAAATTTATCAGAATAGATTAAACAAATGGCAAATAAGTACATGTACTGATGTTCAACATCATATATTATTAGGAAATTGCAAGTTACAACAACAATAAAAGAACTGGAGTTGTGGCTCAGTGGCAGAGCATTTGCCTGGCATGTGTGAGATCCTGGGATCAATCCTCTGCACCACATATAAATAAATAAAAGATCCATTGACAACTAAAAAAAAAAAAAATACTACCACAACTCTATTAGAATGGCTAAAAAAAAAAAAAAAACTGACAGTTTGGCAGTTTCTTACAAAACAGAACATACTCTCCATACAATCCATCTCCTTAGAATGTAGTTATTAAAATGAGTTATTAAAAGCATTCCATAAAAAAGGTGTAGACGATTGTCATTGCAGCCTCATTCATAATTGACCAAACAAGGGAGCCACCAAGACATCCTTCAGTAGATGGACAGATAAACTGGTACATCCAGACAACAGACTATTATTCAGCAATAATAAATAATATCAATTTTTAAAAGGATTGACATTTCTCCAAAGAAGATGCACATGAAAAGATATTTGATGTCACTCGTTATTGGGAAAATGTGAATCAAAACCACATGATATGTATAATTTAAAAAGCTTTTAAAAATAATCAGAAACCACTTCACACCCATGAAGATGGCTCCTAAAAAAAATAAAACAAAATGACATTATCATTTATGGGATGAGAATGTAGGGAAATTGGGCCCTGTGCAATTTTAAATGATGCAAGTGCTATGGAAAGCAGTATGGAATTGAAATTAGTGGAAATTAAAAAATGATTGCAGCCACTACAAAGAACAATTAAATTCATCAAAAATTAAAAATAGAGCTAGATGTAGTAGCCCATGTCTGTAATCAGTGATTCTGAAGACTGAGGCAGGAGGATCACAGGTTCAAGGCCAGCCTAGGTAATTCATCAAGACCCTGTCTCAAAAAATAAAAACGGGTCAGGGATGTAGCTTGGTGGTATAAAGTAAAATTTTAGAAAAGGATTGAAAGGAGGGTCTCAAGGAGATATTTGTATACCCACATTTATAGTAGCATTCTTCACAGTGGCCAAAGGTGGAAGCAGCCCAAATATTCATCAATGGATGCATAAAGAAAATATGGGAGTGGGATGAGTAGGATGTAGCTCAGTGATGATAGAGTGCTTTCTAGCATGTGGGAGGCCCCAACTTTCATCCCCAGAACTAAAAAAAAGATACATACATATGATGAAATACTCTGACACATGCTATAACATAGATGACCCTTGAGAACATATATTAAGTGAAATAAGCCAGGCACAAGAGGACAAAAATACTATATTATTCTACCTAAATGAGGCACCTAAGAGTAATCACATTAATAGAGACAAAAAGTAGAAGGGTGATTACCAGGAGCTAGGAGGAGAAAAATGTGAGGAATTGTTTAATATGCATGAAGTTTGAGTCTTGCAAAATGTAAGGATGATTTTTCCACTAAATGGTGCCAAAACAATATACATATTGGAAATAACCCTAAATCCCTTCCTCTCATCATACATAAAAATGTATTTGAAATGAACCATAGGCCTAAATGCAAAAGCTAACAGTATAAGATTTTTAGACAAAAACACAGGAGAAAATCTTTCTGATGTGGGGACAAGCAAAGATTTTTTTTTTTAATAGAAACTCCTTAAGCTTTATTTTTTTAAATTTTTTTTTAAATTTTTTTAATTATTGGCGGACACAACATCTTTGTTTGTATGTGGTGCTGAGGATCGAACCTGGGCCGCACGCATGCCAGGCGAGCGAGCTACCGCTTGAGCCACATCCCCAGCCCCAAGCAAAGATTTCTTAGGACACAAAAAGCACAAACCATA